CAGAAAAACGAAAACTGCGATATTTTAGTAACTACTGAAGATAATTCACTCAAAATTGATATTTGCAATGAGTTTTAGACGAAAAATAAGAATTTTACAAAATTTTGGCAAATGGGCGTAGCCACGCCCACTTATGGTTACATGTGTATATCTTGGTAACCGCTACACCAATTTCTTCCAAACTTGGCACAGTTGTTGGTCCTGATACAGCATACCAACTGGCCGAAAATTTCTAAAATCGGACAATAAACACGCCCACATCCCATATAACGGTAATTTCGAGAAATACAAAATCTTCGATAAATCAGTAAATATTGAAGATAATTTATTCAAAATTGATGATTGCAACAATTCTTTACCAAGAAATACGTTTATGACAAAATTTTGGAAAATGGGCGTAGCACCGCCCACTTGTGATCACATATATGTATCTCGCTAACCGTTCTAGCAATTTGTACCAAGCTCGGTATGGTTATTGTGCTTGCCACATAAAAGCAAACCGTTGAAAATTGTTGAAATCGGACTAAAATTGAGGCCGCTTTTCATATAACGGTAAATTTCAGATATGCTTGAAACTGCAATATTTCGAAATTTAAGGACGCTAATTTACTTAAAATGTATACACCCCGGCTTATCATGTAGCGGTAGCTTTCGGAAAGGTGGAAAACATATATTTAATACGTGCGCCGGGTATTTAATGTTCGGCTCCGCCCGAACTTAGACTTTCTTACTTGTTTTTAGTACTTGAATTTTAAAATTGGTACGTTGTATTTAGCAAAAAGTAATGTTACTACCTATTGGGGTTACCTGCTTCTTAAAGGGTCATAAATCAAACCTGCGGCACTAAAGCTGCCTTTACATGAGGCGATTTTTTGACAGGCGATAATCGCATGCAAAAGTTGACTTGCTGTCTACTTTGAGACAAGCGATTTTTTAATCACCATTTACACGAGCGATTTTTCCAGAGCAATATTGAATCGCCTAGAAAATCGCCTCATGTAAATCCAGGATAAATAACTTCTCGCTCGAGGCGACAAACTTGAAAAACTTTAAGTTTGACAAAATTGTCAATTCATTTCGATTGACGCTACACCAGTAGAGAGGACTTTCAGTTATATTTATTTATTTTTTATTGCGTTGCAATAATTCTTTTTTGAGGATTTCATCGGGGCTGCAAATGTCGGATGTAACCTCCTAACTTTCATCTTCACAATCTAGCATCATGGCA